TATTTTTATTTTTCAAAACAACCGGTTTTATATTGGGTTTATTTCTTATTGCGCAAAACTTTAAATCATAACGATTTTTATTATAAAATATTTTTTTAAGTATTATATGTCACCAACAAGTGATTCTCAGAAATGTTCAATGCACGTTCTTTTATTTATTTCAAATACATTATTTCTAAACATTACTAGTAAGGTTGTTGTTATTATTGTAATTGTTGATTTTGTTATATTCATATTTTTTATCTTTATTTCTATTGTTTTTTATTTATAAATAAATTNATATATACATTGTTGGTATTATCTCATTTTCATGTTTTTCTCAGCAATTAAAAAGTAACTACTATGTAGACATTACCACGCGCACATCGACCTCGTCCCTACCCGCATATGCCTCTCAATCCACACTTGGTGTATGTTTGTATGTATACCCGATTTCAATTTTAAGGTTAGTTTTAACTACTAAAACGCACTTTGAAGTAATTTAATTTTAAAACAGCAAATAATTGGATTGATTTAAAATATATGCATGTTATTGTTGTTTTATTTTCACATTTTATTTTTGAATATAATGCATACAAAGCGCAGATAAGTTGAAAGTTCGAAAATTCACAAAAAACCAAAAGTACTTAAACAAAAAATATAAAAATTTGAAACCTGAACTTAAAAATCAACTTTTAAAATATTAAAGAAGCTAACTTCGAAATATTTCGCATCCCTTTATTTTAATTATTTTTAGAAAGTTTAAGTAAAAACAAACTTCGAAACTTTTCGAAATTAAAGGTATTTCGAAAATCGTTTTTGTATGAAGAAACGAATTGCGAAAATTTTCGCCATTAAACTTGTTTCGAAATTTAAAACTTGAAATGAACATAAAAATCAACTTTTAAAATATTTAAAAAGAAACAAACTTCCAAATTTTTCGCAATTAAACCTTTATCGAAAATCGCTTTTTTAGTTTTTTGTTTTTTGACAGTTTTCGAAACTAAGCTTTCTTTCAAAATCTATGAAATACTAAAATTTTTTAAATTTAATTTAATAAGAATAATAAATACATTAGCGCCAAAATGCTTGCGAAAACTATTTTTGAAAAAAATAATATTGCTCGAAATTCGTGGAAAAATGTGACAGCACAAACAACTGAAAAAAATTAAATACAAATAACATTTTGTATCAGCAATCTTTACATTTTCAAAATGTTTGCGAAAATTACTTTCGATAGAAATAAAAATTTTCGAAATTCGTAGAAAAATGTGAGCACAAAAAACTAAAAGAAATTAAATGCAAATAACATTTTGTGCTATACATCTTTATTTAATGTGACAAAATGCTTGCGACAATTAATTTCGAAAAATAAAAATTTTCGAAATTCGTAGAAAAATGTGACACAAAACTAAAAGAAATTAAATGCAAATAACATTTTGTACTATAAACCTTTATTTAATGTGACAAAATGCTTGCGAAAATTATTTTCGAAGTAAATACAAAATTTTCGAAATTTGTAGAAAGATTTGACAGCACAAAAAACTAAAAGAAATTAAATGCAAATAACATTTTGTACCAACAATCTTTATTCTCCAAATGCATTTTCCAGTTTTTCGAAATTTTATGGATTTGACATTTCGCTCAAATTAATTTCACTTTCTACTTTACATACAATATTTCGCAGAATTTAACAGACTTTAGAGCAGCGCTTCAGCATTATGCGAGCATGCTTTTTGCGTGCCTGGCACTGCTTGCACTTAAGTTCGCAGTGTTTTTTATACACTTTTAATATAACAGATTTGTATGTATGCGTGCATTTTGAATGCAGTTTTCTAACATTCGCTTGCTGCTTTATTTTACGTTCTTACACAACAACAATTTATCATAAACATTTTCTTTAAATAAACTAGTTAGATTTTCGAATCGTTTAAATTACTTAGACTTTACTAAAATGTTAAAAATAAAATTAATAAAAATTAAGGGTCGTACATATATATAGTTATTTTCACGTTTGTTGACCTTTACAGTTAGGTGTGTCGGTGTATAGGCATTTTACAAGCATTATTAATATACTTTTAAATAAAATTTTATTGAATAAATATTTGCAAGTTGTTGCTTTATATATGTTTTTTCATTTATTTTTTATTTTTATTTATTATTATTTTTTTTTTTTGTTNAAATATGTACATGTATATAATATATACATATATATATATTTGAGAAGAAATGTATTAAAATTTGAAAAGCTGAAGTTATAGTTTAATTATACTAATTTAGACGCTTTAATTTAAAAAAGTTATTAGCAGTTCAACAAGCCAACAGTTCAGTGTCTCCACAACAGTGTTCATTTAAATTTAATATAAAGTAAAACATTCGAAGAAAATACAATAATATTAGTAAAAAAATTGGAAAAAAATATTTGAAAAAAAAATTATATTTATAAGGTATAATTAAATAAAATTGTCTTACATGCAGTTAGGGAGTGAAAAATAAGAGAAAGCGCTTTGATAAACGATTTTTGAAAATATGAATAGCTAAAATACTGCAAACAGAAAAGAGTACAAAACGAACAAATTGTGTGTAATGTTGCATAGTTTATTCAATAATTTCGTTTAACATTTGCATTCAACATGTGTAATTACTATACTGCTGTAGTTGTTGATGGCTTAAATTATTGCTTTACATACTTTATGTTTTTGTAATTGAAACTTACTTATTTCGATTGTTTGCTTTTAAACTGCTGGACATGCATACATTAGTTGTTTATAGTTGTATTTATGAAAGAACTATAAATTTGCTTATTTATTTAATTTTTTATATTTTTATTTCAATTTTTTATTTTTATTTCGAAAACTGTTTATTTATTCAAAGTAAAAAAACAATATTTATTCTTATTTACTTTGAATAAACACACACACAGTACACAGATATTTGTTTATAATAATAAAATATAAATAAACAATTAGCCTTTTGTTTCTTATTATTTTTGTTCTTATTTGTGTATTTAAGTTTTAACCAACGACAACAGACTCAGCGCTTGTAACAAATTCATTTTCACTTGCCATTTTATTTATTCATTACTTTTATTTCAATTTTTTTTTTCTACAACTGCTTTTCTTCTATGCATGTTTGTATGTTTGTATGTATGTATGCAAGTTATGGGTATTAGTAACTTACTGTCTCTTATACACATCTAGATGTGTATAAGAGACAGATTAGAAAAAATCAAAAGGAACTTTTTAAATATAGACATACATTACAAAATAAAATGAATATCATTTTATGAATAATAAAATTTTAGTTACTTAGAGCCCACATTAAAATTAAAAAAAATTAATTGAAAGTTATTTTGTATTTAGCAAAAATATATTAATTAATAAAAAAACTACTTTCGAAAGGACAATGTTATGGCAGGAAAATTATATTTTACTGAAAGTTAAATTTTAAAACCAAATAAATAATATATTATACAAAATCTTAAATAAAATGTTAAATATATTTTTATAATGAGTGAAAATTAAAAGCAGTGTTTAACAAAAAAGGTATACTACACTTTTATATATTATTTTTTGTGGGCAAAAAATAGTGAGACTTTTTAATTTACATTTCTCGATAAAAGCTATTCCTCAAAAAGGTTTTTTCTAGGTTGGTATAAGTGTCAGTGACAGCTAGCATAGCCACAGCAAAATAATCATTAGTGTTTAGTATACGCCTGTCTTCCTGAATTACATAAATTTTTTTTAAAAAAAGTTCTTTTAAATATTGTGTGCGGTATCAAAATTTCTTTAGCCGAAAGGTTCATAACGTTGGAAAAGAACTTTGGTTATAATTCTTTGACACAAGTAAATGTTTTTCATTGGTACAATATATTCAAAGAGGGCGACAGCGCCGCGGGAAAGGCGACCATCAACATCAACTGATGTTCCACCCAATTTCCACCAACCCGTGGCTAAAAAAATAAAATTGGTGCTTGAGAATCGACTATTAAGAGTCAAAGATAATATTGGTATCGTTGGAAAAACAATTTGGTTCCTCCGAAAACACTCAGTTTTTTCGAAAAACAGCATCGCTTAACAATACTTTCCGAGTACCAGGAAGTCATGAAATGTGTTAGAACTACCGATAAGTATTGGATCTATGCTTACGTCCCGGAAACAGATCAATCGGTCGAATATCGTAACAAGGGGGGGCCGAAGCTGAAAAACCACGCCAAAAAAGGTCAAAAATCATAGTTTTGTTAACAGTTTTCTTCGATTATCGAGGTGTGGTGCAATCCGAATTGCTTCCGATGGCCGACCGGCCAAACTGTCAACAAAGAATACTATTTGAGTGTTATGCGGAATTATGAACCGCCAACTCTTGGTTTTTGCACCACGATAATGCACCGTCGCATAATGCATTGATTCTTTATGAGTTAATCGCTAAATTTTCAACAAAATCGTGCCGCAACCAAATTAAATTATAAATTGAATATAAATATATGTATGTATTTCTATATTGGTGAAAATTAAAAAAATAAATAAATAAAACATGAAAATATATATATATTTCATTAAATACAAACAAAATTAAAAACCTTAAACAACAAAAATAAAATGTTTTTTTTTTTTAATTTTTCTAAAATAATACGCTTTTAGCTTTCCTAGCGCTTGGAAACGTAAAAAAATATAATGAAATCAGATAAAAAAATTTGTTATTTTAAGACAATATAATTATTACTAAATTTTTTCCATTGTGCACTTATTGCATATTCGAAATTATTGAATAAATTCAAATGTATAATATATATGCAAAAATATAAGACAAAAAAAAGAAATTTTTATTATTATTTTTGCTTTTAGTTTTA